CACGAAAGCTCATGCTCAAATAAATTGGTTAGTCTCTAAGGTGCCACAAGTCCTCCTTTTCTTTTTGCGAAGCCAAAGGGAGAAAAGGAAGTTGGCAGCCCTCTTGGGCTGGTCCCTCCAGTTTAAAAGTAGAGGGAAAAAATGATGATGAGGTGCATTAAGTATATATAAAAAACTGGAGAGGCAAAGGCAGCATCAACTGCACCTGTAGTCCATGCTATACCTCTCCACTTTCTACTCCAAGTAATCTGAGGTAAAAAGAGCAATAGCTATTACTCCTGTCCACTGTACCAAATGACATCTCAGAGTGCCAATCTACCTTGACTAGTATTGGCTGCTAGTCTCTAAAGGACTGCATGACAACACTGAGAAATAAATTACCCATCAAAGTTAATGAAATTCACGGCTATGGATTACTCAGGACCCAGTTGTACAACACGTACACACAAATAGTGAGCACCCACATCGCAATTCCATTTAATTCAATGGAACTGTAGGCAAGAGAAAGGGCTGTACAATCTATCCTTAGGGAGTATATCTCTGATCTGCTCTTAGTTAGTTTTGGCCCCTGTGCTACAGTTATTCTGTACTATCAATGGGGATGTTTATCGTGCCACAGACACTTAAAGGTACAAGTGTTAAACCAAAAAGAGCGCAGCTTCTTTCTGCTGTTGTAGAAGAAAGAAACAAAGTATTAAACGCTTTGAATGATGCTGAGTTAGTGATGGCTTCGTGAAGATGAGTAAGCTAGGTAAGATGAAAAAATAAGAAAACTCCTGTCCTTTCATCTCCAAACATTCACCCTAAATTGTACACGAAATGTTGAGGTCCTAACAGGTTCAATGGATATATTATGGCTGGTGTCACCTGCTGGAGCTGCTACATAGAGTCTTACCAGTCATTTTTCTTAACATGCAAGAGAGCTTTGACTCTTGGGAAGACATGCTGTGGTTGTGTTAGTTTGGGGTATACAATGTATTGTGTAGAGGTAGCTTGGGAAGAGAGGGAGATGCATGAGCTGCAGGTGAGTTTGCTGTCTCTGGGCTCTGACTAGAGTCAATTCTTGAGACAGAGTTGCTTCCTGGGAACTGAGCATTGGTGTTGGGCTGATATTTCTGGGAAAAGGGATTGCCCCTTGATCACCTCATTTCAGGTGGTCTTTGAATATACCCAGACACTGTCACTGATTTCTCCTCCCCTGAGAGACCACAGTCATCTGCTAACTCTCAGCAGAGGGATGACACTGGTGTCAGAAGAAAGGGCAACAATATAACTTGCATATCTACATTCTTGTGTCAGGCCTGGGATAGAAACAAAAGTGAACATCTGCTAGTATATATAGGCCAGCTAAGTTGTCATCCTCACTAACTACAGCTAAAAGCCTATGTTGTGCATTAGTATACAGCTAAGTTAGGTGACTTCCTCATGACTTTCTCTATTTGAGAAATAGTATGTGATCATATAGCTAATGGCAATATCATAATGCATCCATGGAAGGGGAATATTCTCCGAGGAAAAAGTACCATTAAACTGTGGAAGAAACTGACTTGAGGAATCTGCTGTAGTAGCAGCAACGTATGAGAGGTCTGATCTGTGCACCTCAGGCTAAGCAAAAATAGACAGTGAGAATGTTTGACCTGGAAAGCTGTAAGGAGAGTCGAAGTCTTGGGAAGACAGTAGCCTAAGGAATTGCCGTAAGAGTATCAACCACGTCTGTGAGAGCGTGACCTTGGAAACTGTAGATATAAGTGAAGGTGACAGTAAAAAAGCCAGAATGAGAAACAGAACTCAGTTTTTCCACGTTAAAACCTGTGTGTGTGTGTGTATTACATATTCTAAATCTCCAGCGGTGTTATGAAAACTGAAACTGAATTCACATCTTAAATGATAAAACTGTGTTAATTAAGGTACAGTAGTCATTAGATTATCAATCAAGTAACTGAATTTATACTACATGCGATGTCCAATTGATTTTTAACTTCCTCTCAGAAAATTACTTTAAGACAGTGCTGCCTAGTGGTTAAACCACTGGACTTAGGTTTTGGGAGATCTGGATTCTATTCCTGGCCCTGGCCCTGACCTACTGGGTCTGAGTGACCTTCGGCAAGTCACTTGGTCTCCCCTTGCCTTGGTTTCCCCAAATGGTGATAATGATGTTTGCTTCCCTTGTGAAGTGCTTTGAGCTCTACTGAGGAAAAGCATTACATAAGTACTGGCATTAATAGTTATGTATGGATCTAATGTCACTAAAGGTGTATAGTGTGGGGTCTGTAGTCCTGATGTTTTAATGCTGAGTCACTTGGATTTCAATGATATTACATACAAGAGGAAAATACTAGCTCATGATTGGCTGAAAGCAGTTGTGACAGGTTGCCCCTCTTTACTGGGAAGCCCCTGAGCCCGCCTGTTCCGCCGGCCTGGGCCCCCTTTATCCTATCTTGCTGAGCCAGGCTCTTAAGCCTCCTCTAGCACGCGCACACTGGCAAGGCCACACCTAGCTGCAGAAAGACACCGACACTGAGATCAGCTCTGGGAAGACTCAGCTGAAGGGACGTGCCCCAGCACTCAGGTGCCCACCTCCCTTGGAGTGCAGACCCAAAGGTATATTGTCTTGTGCATCTCCAAGTATAACCACAGTTGTAATTGTTACATCGTCAATATTCCTAACTTCAGATACAGAAATAATGCATGCTATACAAATTGGATAATCACATTCAGTAAATCATAACCTTTCCAATGATACCGTACAAGACCCATCTTGTATAAAATATATCTTAGGCTATATTCATACCATATTTCTATGAAGAATATGGGGTGTAATGTCACAGCAGTCACGTGATTAAAACCAACATTTAGCTTTTGCTTGGTTATGCCCATGTTTCTACTGTACATGTCACAGCTGGCAGGTATTTATGTGATTTTAATTAGAGAAGGATCATAGTATTTATTCTAAGGCTCTCTAAAGCTTGAATCTTTTCTTTTGTCTCATTTCTGGTATAGAATAACAAGTGTCAACCTATCCAGGTTAATATACTGTAAGTTTAAAGGACTTCTAATTCTTGTCCATCCACTGTGATAGATTTTCTTTCCATGTTTGCATGTAATAGGATGATATGAAGCTATGTTTTGCAATAAGATTTCATGTGACACTTCCATTAACTTCAGTGAGTAACACACACAGAATGAAGGCAGGATATAGCACCTGGCATATGGCTAGATAGCCATCATCCTGACCCATTCCCCTTCTTGCCTAGATGAGCTATACAACAATACCACTCCAATAATTGTGGCAGGGCAGTACTGTTTATTAAGGAAGAAGTAGAAGATGAAATTTGCCTTTAATTTTAGACTAAAACAGCCCCACCAAAGCTGCTTTGTATGGTAGTAATGCTGCTGGAAGAAACAGAAAATACCAATAATTTTATTTTGCTACACCATAGATTGTGAAGGGTCTGTAAAAACCATATGTGGTGTCTAAGATATGAAAATGAAGTAATACCGAAGATGAATCTGCTGGGCCAAGATTTGGTTCCATTGAATTCAAGGGGAGCTTTACTACTGATTTCAGTGGGACTGGGAGTTGATCCATTGAATGTAACTTGTCTATGGAACAATAAGTCTTGAAGTCTTTACTTTTATGTTCAGTTCTTTACTTAACCTCGTGGGAGGAGAGGGCCTTTGTAGGAAGTGATTTAACCACAGCACTCCAGTGTGCCGGGCTAAGCTGTCTACCACTGGGCTCTGGCTCGGAGCCTAGTGGAGAGAGTGGGCCTGTACTCCCCCACCAGTCCCTATAGGGGGACAACTGTGAAAGCCTGTCCCTTGGCAGGGAACTTGATTGGTGGAAGACCCGGAAGATACAAGGGTCCAGTCCATTGGGTGCTGACCAAAGGGGGAAGCCATGAACGCCACACTTGATCCTGAAGACTTCCTCATTATTGGACCCTTTATATATACACCCTGAAATGGGTGGACTTGCAAATGTGACCTGGCAAGGGGACTGAGTCACTGAGCGGACAGACCATGGCAGGGTGGAGCAGTAGTGAGAAAGTGGAATGCCTGGGAGGCTGGCCCACCTGACCACCAGACGGCACTGGCTGTGAGTGTTCCCCTTCACATCAGGGCTTTAAAAAAAATCTCCATAAAGTTGCTCTGACATCATGATCAACTTCTTTCCCACTTACTCCATTCCTCCAATGTTGTCCTTTTCTCTCTTCCTGTCTATTGTTGTAGGTTGTGTTTGTGTCCCATCACCCTCTGCTGGTTGGAATCAGATCAGCTTAAGAATTTATTTAGCAGTACTGTCTAGTGGCTGCTCATAGGCAGCTATCAGCTTTGAAGTTATTCATAGCAGAGAATCTCTTTAGCTCAATTGGGTAGCGGGCAGCATTATGAAGCAAAAGGTCCTCTGTTCTATTCATCATTGCTCATCTGTGATATTTAGCGAGTGACTGGCTTGTGAACAGCTGTGATCCTGCAATGTGTCATCTATCTGTCTTTGGTGTTTGTGGCATGCTAGTCACTGTAGAATCTCTCTGAAGCCAGGGGAAGTTGCAGACCCGTTGTACCTTGCAGGAAATGCTCAGCAGCTTGCAGGATCAGTCTCTGGATTTGTGAGAGCAAATCTGTAAGGCAGGGGTCTACGTTGTGTAGATGTGCATGCAGGCTGCGTGCACAAGAGCTTTAAAAAATTGTGGATGGGGGGGCCCAGGGAAATGGCTAGTCTCCTTGAGAGCTGGAGTGCAGTGATGGCAACACAAAGGACCAGCTTGTGAAGTTTCAGTGTAAATTCTTTTCTTCCTTAGGGGCAATAAGTAAAAATAATGACCTTTCCCATGTGTTCAAATAAGAACAGCGTCTGTATGCATTAAAAGATTCATGTTTGCACGTAGGGTCTTGTAACCCTTATCTTTGCAAGTTGGACTGCGTATTAACCAGTTTTTACACATTCATATATGCACAGGAAACCTGTTACCGTAGAGAAGAAAACAAAACAAAACTGAAGGCTTAAGGGTTTTTTTTTAATTTAATTTAATTTTTTAATACTGGAAAAGGAGGAGTACTGACCAAAAATTTCCTCTGCTGAGAGTGGTAGCAGAGCTTTTCTTCATCCCTGCAGTCACTGGGAGTGCTGGAAGCTTTAGTCCCAGTACAGAGCAGTTGTAGCAAAATTGGCTTCGCTCTTCTTCAGTACTCACTGGTAGCTGACACGAGGACTGGGAGCCAAGGATGTATCTTTTTCTCCCTTCCTATTCATTCAGAGAAGAGGACAAAGTGATCTCCTTCAAATGTAACACTTAATATCTGCTGGAAGATATTAAGACCTACATTCCATGCCTTTTAATACAGAGGAGACTCTGTATAAGGGAGTTATAATTAACTTCTAAACAGAGTGAAAGTTCAGTATAAGAGGTCTGTCCTATGGACATGTATGCACAGTACATCCAATACCAGTGACTTTTTGTCACATCGCTCTGTGATTTAAAATCTATTTTAGGAATAGATCTTAATCCATCTGAGAAACATCTCTTTCCTTATTTATTTTGCAATAACCATTTATAATTACTTTAAATGCTATACAGAAAGGGCATCTTTCTGTAGCAATGAACAAAAACAATAACTTTTCAGCATTAGTGTATATCAATAGCCAATTACTTTTGTGTGGATGGGTTCCAGCTGGCTGGTAATGGACTGATAACTCTTCCAGGAAAGAAACTATCATTTCAAAGATAGAGTGGCTGGCCCTTTAATTTTCAGGAATTACAAAAATTGGACCTTTCACCTTTAAAAATTGTAAATGGCCGAAGACCTGCACTAAATCACTTGATCTCTCGGCGAGTCAAGTTACTCTATCCTCACTGTTACTTTGTAAGGGTTTACCTTTTTCTGCAGCTCTAGAGCCTCATTTCGATCTTGTTTCATATATTTTTTTTTCTTGAAGAGCTGTGACCTCCATGAATGTTCACATCCTTCCAGGCTTCCCTCCAGCCATCTCACTGTAGGGACAACACAAAGAGTACACAGCACGTTCATCCTTGCTCACATATATTGTTTGAGCTTGAATTCATGCTGACTGAGATATGTTATGCTAGCGGCCTGTTGAGACCTCTGTTATTTCTACTAAACTCTATTTTAGTACTATGTGTTCTCACCTACTTGCAGACCTTTGTCTGTTGCATCCTGTCTGACCTCTGGACTTTTAACCATTTGGGATACAGACAATGGAATCCTGACCCTTGATTAGGCTTCCTGAAAATTACTATAATATATATAATAAACAATCTGGCTTAAAATATGTGAAAGTTCTTGGATGTTTAACTTTCTTATGAGACCAAGGGGAAAGAGTTGGATGCGGGTATTTGATAGCTGTTTTCAAGTACCTGAAAGGGGGTTCCAAAGAGGATGGATCTAGACTGTTCTTAATGGTAACAGATGACAGAACGAGGAGTAATGGTCTCAAGTTGCAGTGGGGGAGGTTTAGGTTGGATATTAGGAAAATGTTTTCACCAGGAGGGTGCTGAAGCACTGGAATGGGTTACCAAGGGAGGTGGTGGAATCTCCATCCTTAGAGGTTTTTAAGGTCAGGCTTGACAAAGCCCTGACTGGGATGATTTAGTTGGGGATTGGTCCTGCTTTGAGCAGGGGGTTGGACTAGATGACCTCTTGAGGTCCCTTCCAAACGTGATATTCTATGAGCTTGTGTGTATGCACTGAATTCTTGTCTGAGTTAGCTTTAATTATGAAAGCAACTGAGTTCAGAAAACTACGTAGTCAAATTTATTTTTCTGAGTACTTAGAGGCCTAATATCTTCCTGTCTGTATATGCATAATTCCCACTGACTCCAACAGCAGTCTCTCCCCTGCGTCTGGGGGAAGAAGTTGGTTCATAAATCTAGAGCCAAATCTGACCTGAGTGAAGCAGGTGCCACTCCTTTTGACACAAGTCCAATCAATGAAAATAGCATGTGTTCACACGAGCATTGACCTTGGCCCTGTGTATGTTTGTTGTGGAGGGAGTTGCTGAAAAATGTACGTATATTCCATATTGGTTTTAATTTGAGACTATTTATTATGAACCATTGTCCGGTGTCTCCTACACAGAAACAAGCTACCTGTACTGACAGCTTCTAAGTACATAAGAAATATAGCTTGGGTGCTGTGACATTTTATGTTCCAAACTTTGCCCAGTGGCTGACGGTTTCTTCCTCAAAGTGACATATTGATTGTAGGTACATGTAGGGTGAGTGTGACTGTGTTCAGTATTTTGAGCTCATCATCTGTTATCCCATTCTTATTGTCATCCAAGGTCCAGACAGTATCAAATTGGAAGCAGTAGTGTAGAAAATTACAAACAAATCAAAAAAGACTACAGCTGTGAAATGAATCAAGCCACTGTTTCTACATTTAGTATTTTCTTTGGTATAAAACATCTGTTACCTTTTTTGGGGGGCTTACAGCTATCAAAGCAAGAATGAAGCATTGTAATTGCTGTTAGACAGTATAGCACAGCCAGGTCATTCAAAGTAACTGGAATGCAGTGGCATAGTATCTTCATCAAATGTGTGATAATTTACTAACATGTGGCAATGAAATATTGGGTGAGATTTCCTGATACACTGTGGCTACTCTGAAGCCACTTTAACCAGCTGAGGGAGGATCATTCCAGTGTCAGCAGCAGTGGTGTAGCTAATGTAAGGGCTTATATATTACCCATACTCTTTGCTGCCAGCATAACTGGGAGGGTGCGGCCAGAATGTCTTTATGCCACTTCTGTCTTGGGCTGTATTTTGGCTACATCTAACTGTTGCATTCTGATTGAAGTTGGGAAACTGGCCCTGCTCAGAGTAGTGACTTGGTCAGAAGAGCACAAATATTAGCTTTAAACCACCTTTGCATAGCACCCACTGACCAGTGCTCTGTGGATTTCAGTAGCACCCCAGGACCTGGCCCTAAGTGTGTGAGCTTGTGTGTCAGTGGCTACAGCATTAAGTGACTATCAATGCTAATTGTACTGACATGTGTACACAAGACTGACATAATCCCTAGAGGTTTGAAGCTGCTATTAAGCTTGTTCCTTCCTATTAGTTTTTGACCAAGAGGATAATGAAAAGATGACAAATTTCAAGTTGACTTACAAGTAAGAGATACAGAGTTAGCATGGATAATTTCATGCACTGTCAAAGCAAAAAAGCTTAACTAAATGTATGTGGGCAAAGAGAGATGCTGTCATCTTAATAAGAAATTAAAAGACGGACTCCTAATAATTGAATCATGTCTCTTGTCACATTTGTATTTGTTTAATACATGTCTAGTTTTGTTTGAATTTAGTTCTGTGTCTCTCCTTTTAATCAGTATTGATTCAGGCTCTTGGTTCTACCATCATAAATCCCTCTGTCATGTTACACTTCCAGCTTCCTGGTAGTATAGCAAATAAATTGTTCCATAACAGACCTGGGTTCAAATTACCTCCACCATAGGATTTTGAATACTAAAGGAAATGACTTGCTATACTTTAAACCTAAATTTTCAAATAAGATAATCTTATCTCTTCCCCCTCCCCTCTTATTTAGGAGCACTTCCAGTGTAGCGTAAAGAGGCCTTAGTGTAAATGAGATTCAGGCCTGCTATATTTAAAAATATGATCCTAAATTGCAGTGCAAGGATCTGAAGCCTGGGAGATGGAAATTGGTTTCGGAGCCTTCTTTTTTAAAACATACAAATGTATTCAGTTTTAAGTGAATGTAGATAAAGCCTGAACTTCTGTGGCTTCCTCCATGACTAATCTGTCTTTCCCTCTTCTTACTCTCACTGTATTTACTCATATTTATTTTATAGAGCACGAGCTATACTACTTCGCTGTTTCATCTTCCGAGTTTCCAAAGAACTTTCCTTTGGCTTTTTAGTTTCCAACACACTTTGAGCCTGAAGAAAATAATTTTCTCATCTTCAAATGAGCTGGTTTCAGGTCAGCATTAGAGATCACTGTCCAGTCCTTGTCTGACAAGGAACTGCGGTGTCTTGCTTCTTTTTCTCTGCATCAGGAAACTCCCCATTCCCTGTGTCTGACCTAAAATAATCCGTTTTTCTTTTCTGCTTCCTACAATCACCATTTTCTTCTTTAATAAAAATGTTTTGGTCCCTTTCATTCCCAGTTAAAGATAGTTGCTGCACTGAATTGCTTCAAACTCATCCATCCCTAAATATTAAGAATATATCCATTCTTCATCACCAACGGTGATAGTGGTTTATTTCTCCCACCCCATCTCTGAAAGTCATTTTCGTTGCCCACACATGTAAGCTGTGTGAACCAGTAAAGAGTATCTTGTGGCACATCAGAGCTTTACAGATCACACCCTTCAAAAAGTGCCACATTATCCAATGGAGATCTTAGCATACAGCTCAGTCACACAGATGCCAATTGCTGTAGCTTAACTACAAACTTTCTATTCCCTATATAGCATAAAGGTAAGCAGGGGAAGATGTCAGCTCATTAAGTTATCAGAGGAGGGCTTCTGGGGGACAGAGAAGAGTGTTAGACAGTAGTTTGTTTTTTTTAAAAAAATTATTAAAATTTTATTTTAAAAAGGTGGCAAAATATAAATACAGAAAGGTACAAAATACTTAGTGTAAAATGTTCAGAGATGCCTAGAACCCTGGTCTGCCATGAAAATATAGGAATTGAGGGTGCTCAGTGCCTTTGAAAAGAGGGCCACACATTTATGTGCCTAAATATGGAGTTAAGTCTAAAAATATTGGTCTTTTTCTGGGGTATGTAGCTTTCTGGATGGTAGGAAATTGTATGGTCCTGATTATTTTCAGTGGTTCATGAGTGAATTTGGTGTGAGTCAATTTATATTTGTGTGTGTTTTTAAAAGGACATTAGAGTCGGTGCATGAATATTGTGCAGCATTGTGTTAATGTCTCTGCTTTTCCCTGGAAAGCTGCACTTGGTGCACTCACTATTGCTAATGTGGAAGGGCATCCATATCCTTCATGGCACTTTTTGCTCCCCTTGGCACATTGCTGTTATGTAAATACAGTCCCATCCCATTGAAATATCTGTGGATGCAGAAAGCAGTCCCCCAACAGAATTTACCTTCATTCTATTGCATGTTAGTGGACAGTGTGTTCCCACCTATGCAATGAACAGTAGTTGCGTGCCAAAACCCACAGATACTGATGGAGCTGCAAGAAGCCATGGTCGGATTATCCATATGACTTTCCCAAATTCCCCGACAGCTCCCCAGGACAGTTGTTTGATGGGGGCTCTGTGAAAAGGTCCTCTCTGTGTTGCCAGTCTCCTAGTAAACTCTGCCGAGGGGTGCCATCAATTTCCCAGCTTTTGAGCACTGACTTCCTGTCCCAGGTCTGCCCAATTCCTATACCAGCCCCTCCACCATTCACAACTTCTGACCCCACAGAAGGCTCCCTCCAGGGTTCAGTTTCTCACCTAAAACTCAAATCTGGAAGTATTTTGACTCTGAAATGTTGGTACAGTGCATCATGGGAGTTATAGTTCAGGTTCCTCTTGCTCACATTCTACTCTATTAGCATGGCCCCCGGTCAGATTAAATCCTAGATGATGCACCAGGGTTTCCCTTCTTGATGAGAGGAGGTGGCCCATCATTGAATTGCATGGCTCTAGTGTATCAAGGGAGACGAAGTATAGCTGAGGAGAATGGGAGCATGAGATGCCTGAACAACTCCCATGAGGCACTGTGGTGACATTTCAGAATAACACTATTTTTATTTTCAGCTGAAAAATTGTTTTGGGGGCATTCAATTTTTCAACATCAACATTTTCTGTAAAAAGCAGATACTTTTTTTGAAATTTTGTTTAGTTAAATCCAATTTTAGACCGTTCAAACAGAACAATTTTGATCAATCCCAAAACTTGTGTATTTACTGTTTTTCTTTTGAATCAAATGAGTTGTAGAGAAGAGAATGGAAGACTATTTGGATGCATGCAATGGTGGGGTAATGTGTCCGAGGTTCAAGAAAGAATTAGTTCAAGGTTTGAGAAACCAAGATTTTCATATTAAGTTACATGCATACTGAAAAGGTCAGCCTGGCTTGGAGAAGATATAGAAACCTGAATACCTGTGAACTTTGAAGCTGATCTATACTTTGTATCTCTGGTCCATTTCTATAGAGTCTTCACATCAGGCCCCTCAGAACCTCCATGACCAACCAATCCTCTTCCGAGCCCTGTAATAGTATCAATAGTATCTGGAGTTAACTTGAGGAAGATAGGCCACTTGACTTCTCTCCCCATCTGTTGACATTTGGAGGTGTAACACTTCCCCTTCCTTCTCATGCCTCCGGGAACAGTTTAAAATAGTTTCTGCTGAGCGCATGAAGTAGCGTCATTCAGTGAAGGATCCCCAAGAAATACCATGTGACTTCAATGCTTGTGTCAAAATGCAACAGTCCAGCCCAAGTCTGAACGTTCTTGGGATGAAAATGCCTCAGAACTTTCATTCCCATCCCAATAATCGTAATGGTGCCCAAACTCCGCTTTTGCTGCTGCAAAACCGGTAAAGAGTGCCACATTTTTACAGCTGCTTTTCAAACCTGACGAAGGATAAGGTCACGGTGTGTTTAATTTGGGGGTGACTATTTCAAACTACTTTAGGAGTAACCCATTTCTCAGAGGATTTTTCACCAGGCATGCTTTTTCTTTTTGCTCATACGTCTATTTTTTTCTTTAGGAATTTCTTTAGAGCTGTTCCTTCAGGCTTCTGTCAGGGAGTCCCAGTCTTCATTAAGCAGCGCAGCTGCTGGTCTTCATAATCCCACCAAGCCCATATTCCAGCTCCTCTTGGAGATTTTAAACCCTGGCTTTTGTTGTTTAGTCTGCAGCAGTATCGATGGGGACTTGCTTGGGCACCTTTCTGGATAGAGAGGAATAATGGCTCCACATTCAGCAGCCACAGCCAGTGTGATTCTAAACTATGTGGAGCCTAATAACAACCTCGCATCACCTCCATCCCTTGGGGGGTTGCCCCATCACTTAAATAAGATTTGAAAACTGAAGTTCAGCAGCAGGGGCATCAGCTGCAGATAAGACAAAAGTTTCAGTCTTGTCATGCATTTCTTCCCTCAGCATTTATTTACTTGAGTCCTGCTTCTTGTCTGCCATGGTAAGCCCTTACAGCAATCCTTATTACTCTGGCTGAGTCATTCAAAGGCCAGAGAGTCCCCTACTGATCAGCTGAGTTTGAGAGCAGCGACTCAGAGCCTGGGAGCTAACCTCTGCTCACCCTGGATCTATTGTCTTGAGTGATCGCTTCAGATATGAAAGCTAAAGATAAAGTCTCCTCTTGTGGTCTCAATCGGCCTGATTCACAGTTACTCTGCACGTCGTGCAGTCATTTACACCAGAGCAAAGTGGGTGTGACATGCTGTATTCTGATTTCAGTAGCTCTTTTACAAGCATTTGGCCCTGATGTAAATGGCCACAAGATGCAGGGCAATGGAAAATCGTGCCTGCTGTCAATACACTAGTCTGAATACTATGACTTTCCAGTTGATAGGAGGTGGAACTGAAAGGCAAAGTGACAAATGCTACTGAAGAGGAGAAGGTTATTAAAAGCACTTTCTATCGGCCAACGTGGGTTAGAAACAATAATGAATTAAGCCTGGCTATACCCCGAGGAGGGTGGTATCATCCCCATTGTACAGGTAGGGAAACTGAGGCACAACGGGGCGCAGCACCTGGGTCAAGGTCACAAAGTGAACTGGAGCTAGTAAGAAGCACCTGGTTCCTAGTCCTGCCCTCTAGTCACACTGGATATGGGGCTGGCTCTGTCTTTACCCAGCCCTGCACAAAAACGGATGGTCACTCAGCATTCTGCTCAGGAAGTCCTGCTGATGGATCCTCCGTCTGGCTCTGACCCCTCTCCCTTCCCCCGTCCTACCTGGCTCTCCTGGAGAGGGAGCGCCCGCCTGGCTGCTGCGGGACTCCCTCCGCCCCGGCTCCCAGCCCCGCTGCTGAGCCCACACAGGTGTCCGCTATTGGGTGGAATATGCAAATGACTGGGTGACGTCAGGCAGCTCTGGTCCAAGCAGCAGAAATAGGGCAGGATTCAGCATTTACACCTCCTAGCTCCTGGATTGCGACCGACACCAGCGCCAAGCTTGTGTTGTGATTTTTTTTTTATATATATATAAATATTTTTTCCGGTCTTTTGTTTAATCTCCCTTGGTTTTTCCTCCTTCAGGCTCCAGCCTTTCATGATTTCCTTCCCTCTCCCCCACAAACGCTCCTGCAGACTTCTGTATCCTTTTTCCCCATAAGGAGATTTTTTTTTAAAAAAAAAAACAAACACACCAAAACTCTGACATCCTTTTCTTCTTCTTCTTCTTCCAGCTGCCACAGGCTTTAAACTGTGCTCAGTCTCTGCCACGGGAATCCTACCGGTAAGTAACATGCTAGAAGCCTCTGATTCCATGGGGGTGTGGGGGTAAGGGAGGGTTATGCATGGGCAGTATACCCCCGCCCCCAGTAAGGTTAATGTGTCAGTGTTGTGGGGTTTTAAAGCGATCTCCTGTTCCTCCCAGTGTCCGGCCACAGGTAGGCTCGCAGAGGGCTTGCTGAGCTCTGTGGTGGTGGTAATTCAGAGTCCCTAACGATGACTGACAGAGTTTGCAACATTAACTTGGCGGATGGTAGCCTTGGTTGCACGGAGCAATTTCTGCCCCGGAATGCAGCGCGGGGGAGGCAGTAGGGGGAAGGAGGAGCAGCTTTGGAGGTGCAATACTTTAACCCCGGTGCACTGGACCCGGGACCCCGCAGCCCAGGGCAGTCTCTGGAGGCGGTGGGATGCGATCCCAGGCTTGCCATCTCTCTCCGGTTTCCCGGGGAGCATTTCCCGATGGGCATCGTACGCTCTCAGGGCTTAGGCGAATGAGCACCAGAGGCTGGGACGGGGAGACGGGGATGAGCAGCCGCTACTGCATCTGACAGTTCATTTTTGCAAAAGCTGCTTCTCCTACATCTTCCTATGGGTCTGCCCTTGCTCCTGCTCGTGTTTACAAGTTTGAATGTGTTACAAGCAACTGCAGAGGCAGCAAAGCTGCGTGGAGCAGGAAACAGGGGTTGAGCCTCCGATGCAAGGGGGCCGCCAAAAACCGCCAGCCCCCCACCCCCCCAAAAAAGAGCTGGTTCTAACCATATCCTAGAGAACCGCTCCCGCTCCTGCTGTGGAATTGCTCTTTCCCCTTCTCGCTTTCCTCACTCGCTCCCTGGCTAGCGCTGGGCTCACCCTCTTCATCTTCTCAGATGGCCCTGATGGAAACCGGGGTGTAGCAGCGAGAGTTTTTGACAGGGCCCCCGGGAGCAGGGGACGGACCAGGCGGCGGCCCGGTTGCCTTGCCCTTTGTGGAGCGCTGCAAAAGGGATCGTGGGATCCTCTGGCCGCAGGCTAATCGAGCTGCCTGGGTCGGTTTCCCCACTGAACGCATCTCTACGCAGTAGTTATAACAAGCGGCGGTCCGGAGACACCCTTCAAGCCAGCCGCATTTCCGCGGGTGGCCGTGCGTTCTCCAGCAGCGAGTTCCCAGCCCCGAGAGCTCGCCTGGCAGCCTGGCCTTTTCCTTCTGGGGGCTGGTAACGGAGCTAGGAAACCTTGGTCACGCACGTCCAGGTTCTCCCCCTCCCCCGCGCCCCATCACAACCCAGCCTCCTGCCCACGTCCGCACACACGGCTAACTCCGTGCCCTCTAACCCGGTCTTTCTTGAGTTACTTGTCAATGGACTCCTGAAATTATGGGAGGGTGGGATTTTTTTTTTTCCTTTCTGTTGTTTGTGCTCCCCTTCCCGTCCGCACCAACCTCCCTTTCCCCCCTCCCCCCCTTGTTGGCAGTGGATTCGGTTTCAGACGCTGTTTTGCTTTTGAGATAATCAGCAGTACTTTAAGGCAAGGAGTTAGCTTAATAAGGGGGAAATGGGAAGCCAGAGGCAGGCTGAATTTCCACAGCACCGAACTGTGGAGAAGGTTGACGTCTGAGAGAATTCTTCCCCGGGGCTTCTGAAAGTGTATTTACACGTGTGTGTGTGTGGGGGGGGAGTTTAATTAGTTTGAAAATATTTCTCCTATTATTAAAAGGCCACAACGCTCGCTTAAAAATGCAGCTTTAAAGCTGCCCATTCTCTCCTTGGTTATTAGATGAGATCAGGCTTGGGGGAGGGCGGGGATAACCCTTTAGCGTTTGTCTGATGATTCTTTAGGATCGTGTCTCCAAATGTAACTTGGCATGCGGGGGAGGCCTGGGGGCAGGGGCTCCTGGGTCGTTCTCATTCAGGCTGCAGCGCAAAAGAAATATGAGAAACTTCACAGGGCTCGGGTTCTTTTTTTTTTTTTTTTTTAAAAAACCTCTTATTTGCTGAGCGAGAATCCAGGAAGACTGTGTGTATATATTTGGAAACGGAAAATGGGGGAGTGAGCTTGTTCCATTCCCGGCAGAAAATCATGTGCGAAATAGCTGAACCATAGATCTCTCCCGGCGCCTCTTAGATCGGGTGGTGTGCGGGACCGGGGGGCTGAAGAGAACACAGCCGCCCTTTGGGCTTCGCTGGAGAACAGGAGCTGTCCCCGGGCTGTGGTCCTGACATTGCCCCTTGAAGCTGCAGCTGCGTCTGTTCCCGGTCTGTGGCCCCTAGGTGTCGCCTCGGTGGCTGTTCTGCCTTTTACCGTTGTAACAAAATGGTTCTTTAAATAAATAATCTAACAATTTACAAAAACCCCACGACAACTTGGAAATTACCAAAATCCACCCGTGCCAGGTGAAGAATTTGTGACAACCCAGTCTCTCCCCGCCGCTCCCCGCAACTCCGCGTTTGCTACACGGGATTCCGCTCCTAACTGCAAAGGGAGCTGTATCACACCGCACATTTAAGGGTAGAAAACCGTCATCACAGCGTCGTGTAGATGGGAAATTGCCCCATAGCTCGAAAGAGACACTGCTTCCTGCCATACGAAAGGGGACGTTAATGATCATCTTCAGAGAAGCTAGGAAGATGAACGCGGAGACATGCATTCAAATCAAGTTTTCCCCTTACATAAATGTCATTAGTACTGGGAATGGATGGGTGTGTGTGTGTGTAATTTGCCTGTGTGTGTATTTACAAACTTTGTTTTTTTCCTATAGGTCTGGGTTATTTAGATCATGGTAACATCCAAAATGTGGTTGGTGTTTTCCAAACATAGAGTAAGACCCCCGTCTCTGCCCTGAAAAGCATACAGTTTGAAAATGTAAATGGGGGGTAATAGGGGAAAAAGGGGGGGGAGGGGGAACTAGGGTGAAGAAGACAGTACCTACCTGCTAGTCTGTGTGTGTGTGTGTGTGTGTGTGTGTGGTTAAAGTTGAACATACTCAGATTTAGCTCTTTCAAGCTCTCTGTGTGACAGTGAGTGAATTTTTATAGATAGTTAAATTGATAAATGGTAGAGCTGGGGGTCAGAACCTGTCAGGGGGTCACGAGGTTATTACAGGGTGGGTCTCAAGCTGTCATCCTCCACCCTGCTTTGCCTCTAGCATTTATAATTGTGTTAAATATATTATAAGTGTTTTTTAATTTATAAGGGGGGTTGCACTCAGAGGCTGCTATGTGAAAGGGGTCACCAGTACAAAAATTTGAGAACCGCTGTGGTAGAGAAACCAACCAGAGTGAGAGGGCTTTTGGTTAAAAGTTTAGATATTTTAAAAAATTAAAAAATAATTTATTGGATCAAATGTGGTCACCCAACTAAAAAGATGTGTTGAACCAACACAGCTAGTCAATGAGAATCAATACTGCTAGAAGTTGACTCTCAGGAACTTTCTTAAACCTTGGGCCATAGTCTATTGCTGTTGCCCTTAACCAAGGTCAACATCTGTGTAATGCAGCATACAAAGAGAAGAGGGATTGTGTGTTCAGAAAAGGGGCTACTTTCCCACCCAAAATAATAGTAGAATTGCACATCACTTCTTCAGCTGAGGATGACCTTGAACCTGTGATCATTGCATTCATGATTTACCACCACTTACCCTGCAACTGACATTGAAGAGTGCTGAAATATATAAAATATCTGACTCCTCTCCCACTTCACCCTTTTAAAAGTCTTATTTATGGATTGTGCAAACAGCTTTCTAGTATTATTGACATTTAACTAGTCAGTCCTGTGGGGGTAATGAAGTGATATTGTAGATAACCACAAAACAAACCAAGGGACTAAACCTTGTGGAAAGATCACATCAGAGGTGATGCAACAGTTGAAGATGCAAACAGAAGGTCCAGTCCTGCAAGGTTCTGAGGGACTCTTGAATGTCCTTCACTCCAGTTGATGTCAGCAGGACTTGAGGTTTTCAGAATCTTTCCAGTAGCATGTAGTACCTTGCAAGAATGAGCTTTAGACAGCGATCAAAACAGCTCTCAACAAAGTATTCCGCTGTTGTTTAAAATTTGTACAAATGCTCCCTGTCTTAAATAGGATGTGTGACACAATTTTAACATTGCACTTGGTACCATTTAGGCACCTCATTCATCAAAATTGAAGTATTAATCAGAGATAGTGTAAATAATTAATTGGAAATGTAATTTAACGTCATTATGGTTTGCTGAAAGGTTACCTTAGAATGATTTTTCATGACAACTTTCTTAGCTTTAGTAGCGTTTTACAAAAATGATGGGTATCAAAATGATTTTACAGGTCACAGAAACGCTCGCTAATTATATAATAAAGCAAACTTGAATCTTGTACTGGAGGAGCTAAGGGCCAGATTCTCAGCTGGTGTAAATGGATCCAAGTTATGACACCTAATGATTTGGCCCTAACATTTTCTCTTATAACAACAGTCATAATTTTAGGAAGCTAAAATAGCTTTTTCTTTCTAATGTAGGTTTGGCAGAAAGATTAGTATCTTACAATAGTTCTTGTCTTTTTATACCTTTTAGAATGAGAGACAGCTTAAAAACCTGAAAACAGCTGCGTTAAGAAAGGTCATTCTTAAGCTCTTATTTGCATTATAGCAGCACATCTGGGACCCTGTCATGATTCAGGGGCTCCATTGTGCCAGACACTATCCAAATAAGGGATTCTTTATAACTAGAGTGGTTTTTCTTTTAGTTGTGGCAGATTTCTGCCACCCTTATGCATTGTAAATACTCATGGGGTAAAGCACTGCTGTCCAGGAGCAAACATTTTAAAATCTATCTCAGTGTGGGGGAAGGAATCGTAAATTATATATGTTTATATAGGTTTCATATTGCAGTTTCAACTTAAATTATTAGGGCTAAACTTATCCCAGCTGTAATTATACAATAGCTAGTGCATCAATCATGAATGTGGCCCCTAAAAATTCATCCATTCTTAAAACAAAATCAGATTTACTGAGACTTCAGATAATTTAAAATTATCTAATATATTGGAATCATTTTTTTCCTTGCTTGCACACAGGTTATGAAGGGTAGGTGTTTGACAGATTTTTTCTGAGCTCTCAAGAGATTTCTAGTGTTCAGCCAAGCACTTTGTCCAGTAGTTGCTCTTTTTATACAGATCAGCTTGCCTAGGCAAGTCCAGACTGAGAGACTTACATGGAGAAGGGCTGCCCATGTGGGTTTATGTTTTACATATTTGTCTCCCAAATTAGGAGAAAAAACTGGTGGCACATCACCAATGATGGGCCTGATCCAAAGCCCATTGCAATCAATGGATGTCTTCCTACTGAATTCAATTAACTTTGGATCATTATTTATTTTAAATTTAATTGAGCATTATACAGCCATTTAAGATGCAGTATTTGAGAATTAAGGGCCCGATTCTGCAAGGAGGCGAGCCCCTCTCATTTAACTATCTCAACCCTTCACTGAAGCAACTCCGTACAAGACAATGCTGCTGAGCTTCTCCAACAATTTGGTTCTAATTAAATTCCTAGCATCTGGGACTCATGACAAAATGGGAATTTTTGCTCAATTAAGGATTATAGAACTTGGCCCACATTTGTATTTCTGGCATCTGAATGAGCTAACTCAGAGAACGCACAGATCTATACTATGTATTAATATAAATGTCAGTATTATGAGTAAAACTAATTAAAATATTGCCAGGCACTGTTGCTATAAAAATAAGTAATCTGTAAATTGAACTGAGAAAGATACAAGTTGTTCAAATCACATTAAAATCTATTGGTGTTATTGGAAGGCAGTTATTCTGCTGGTAGTTTTTGATGTTATATGCAGCTATTATCTTACCTAATCTGAACAATTTAACATCCTGTTTCCATGTGGTTAGTTACTAATTCTAACTGGGCATGGCTAGTTCTTTGATGTTTGAGCTCTGGAGTCAGAACTTTAAACTGCAGATAAGTCAGAAATCTCCAGAATTGCAAAATGATATTGTTCTATTTGCTGTGATTGTATCAACAAATGATACAAAATGCCTCTATAAAAATGTAAGGAATAGGACTGCTGTGCCAGAGTGGTTTATAATATAATATATATTTGTAGCGTATTGATATAGTGGCTTTGGTTTATTGCACATTTATTTACGGCTCTAATAGCATTACATCTGAGAGTTTCTAATTAGAATTTAGAAAGCCTAATAAATTCTGATTTCACCCTGATCTCTTTCAGTTGATGGTGTTTAGAAAAGTACTGAGGAATAGCGAGGACTTAAGGGTGCTGATGAGTGTGCAGAGTGTAATTGGTGTTTGTTTTATTGACAGTACACATTCGGGCAGACAAAATATCTAGGACCAAATTCTGCCCTGGTGTAAAGGGGCATAAGCTTTGAAATCCATGGTGTTAGACCAGGACCAGATACAGTCCTTCTTCACTTGTTATACAACATTTTTGTATCACTCACTTGCTATCTTTCAGGGGTCCTATTTACCCTGGTGTAACTCTATTGACTTCAATACAGTCACTTCTATTTACTCCTGAGCTTAATTTGGCGACTGCCATGTAACTTGATAATGTACGGTGTTCAGTCCTATCCTAACCAGTATGTTTGCATCTTTCTATGGAATCTAGTCCAGCTTTCCCCTGAAACACAATATTGCAGGTGGTGTTTGTTTTTTAATGCTAAACAAGGAATAACTGGCAATTTCACCTCATCATGCTTTGAGGAGACTTTTGATTTGAATTTAAGGTTGGAACAAAACCAACCTCAGGAAGTTGGGGGAACATGCATCAAGCCCAAGCTGAAGACCAGGCAAACGGTAATGCCACCCTGGACTGTTCAGCTTTTTGCCTGGAGCCCTTGTCCATACCTAGAAATTCCTCCTTTAATGGGGCAGGCATCTTTTGGGAGTTCCTGGCAATGCACTGCCAACTAAATTATGCTGCTCAAGAGTTAGGAGGAAGCCTGGAAGGTGGGAAGGGTTCCAAAGCCAACTCAGAGGCACATGCCCGGAGAAGCTGGTGCAGTGTGAAAACAGAACTACTGCCATTTCATGGTCCACCATGGAATGATTTTGGAGGATCTGCTGTGAGGAAATCTTGGAAGCGTTGTCTCCCCTTCCTGGGACACTGCCACAGGACGAAGTGATCTGGGCCATAGCTTGGGAAATAATCTCATAAGCACTCTTTAAGAAGTAAAACTCTCTATTAATTTATCAACTCAGTGCAGGTACATGTAAAATACATTAAGATCCTGCAATTAGATCTGTGTAGATTGACTCCCTATACCAAGAGTCCCGGTGAAACCATTGGGGGTCCACACAGGAGCTGGGGTCTTCCTCTGCAAACTAATTGGTTCAGATGAGCTGGGATCCCACTGGTTCTGCCCACTCGACCAGCTTGGGTTTCCTCACCCAGTCCTGGCTGTTCCGGGCTCTCAAGCCTTCTATAGCACATATGCACAGAAAAGGCCACACCCAGCTGCAGACTCAGATTAAAGTCAGCTCTGTGTGAGAGGATTCACCCAGCACTCATGTGCACATCCCCTTAGGGGAGTAAACCCCAAATAATATTGTCTTGCACTGTATAGAAAGTCTGCACAGTGCAAGCTCATAAAAATTCACCCTCTCCCTCAATGTGGAGAGAGATGCACAGCTTTTTGCCCCCTCTTCCCCCCCCCCCCCAGATCTGAATTGCACAAACTGGGTTTTGGAATAAACTAAAACCAAGTTTTATTAACTATAAAAGGTAAATTTTAAATGATTATAAGGGATAGAAAACAGAACAAAGCAGATTACTGAGCAAATAAAACAAAACACCAAACTAGGCTTAATACACACAAGAAACAAGTTACAAAATGTAATTTCTCACCCTAAATGTTGTTTTAGGCAAGTTGTAGAGTTTCTGTAGCTTAGAGTTCCAGTTATTTCTCTTTACAGACTAGACTCCTGTCTTCATCTGGACTCAGGCCTCAGTTCGGTTCCTTTGGATCTTCAGGTACTTTCAACAGTCTTTCTTCTTGGGCAGGAAGGCAATGGAAAAGAGACCTGTTTGCCTTATTCCCCAGCCTTAAATAGAATTTACATAAGGTGGGAAGCCTTTGTTTCTAGTGGGAAAGTACTAGCAGTGTCCAAGGTGGTACTTTTTACCAGGTGACATCATCACCTGACCTTGCAGTGTCAAAGCAACCATGAAACCAAATTTATTTGCAATGTCCACAGGAAGGAACTCCCGGAAGATGGGGGATACATATCTTCAAAGACCCATTGTCTTTTTCCTAATGGCTCATTAAGGCTGATTGCTTACTGTCTGGTATAACCACAGTTGTAATTGTTATATAGTCAATATTCCTAACTGCAGATACAGAAGTGATATGTGCATACAAATTGAATAATCACATTCAGTAAACCATAACCTTTCCAATGATATCTTACGTGAGCCATCTTGCATAAAATATATCTTAGTTATGCCGTATTCATATTCTTTATAGAAATACGCTTATGATATAGAGCGTCACATCACACTATGTATTCCTGTAGAGGCTGTAATGGGATAGGCCCTTCCTGTACACACAGGGACAACTCCTGCCCTAAAGAACCCCGGTTCTGCAATCTGTTCTGCATAAGTACAAAGCTCCTCCCATGTGGTGCAGCTTGTAGGATCAAGGCCTGTGAAGATGAGCAATACGTGAAGGGCAGGGATAAACCATCTTCTTCTCTTTATCCCATCAACTGAGGTTTGGGTCATGTCTGTCAAAGTTGGGGGACTAAGAACCACCTGTTGACCATCTTCTTTTATGCAATCCATCCATCGCTTCCTCAGCTTTCCTTGGGGTCTCTTTTCTACCACACTATTCTGCCATGCTATCTTTGCTAGGTCTCCTTCATTCAGTCGTACATCAAATTACTAAAATAAAGGAGCATTTTCCTTTGGAAATTGTTGTTGCACATAACTTGACAAGTGTACCCATAGGAATTCATTATTCCATTACTTGTGCCATGTGAGTGTAAATAGTTCCACAAGTAATTTTTAAATGAATGCTGCCATAAATTAGCTGAAATTTCAGCTGAACTACTGAATCTGTAAGCTGCATGGGGGGGGGCTGTTTGTTTTGTTTTGTTTCTGTAGTTTTTTTTTTTTTTTCACATAATGGTTTGATAGCTGTCATCTTGTTCTCAACAGACTTGAAATAATGAAATCAAGAAGCTTTTGGTCACTTCTGGTGTTGCTTGAGGTTTTCCTGTCAGTCACTTGGGGGTGGACGGAATCGGACAGGATCAGAAGGCTTTATGCGGATGCAGGGAGGTTGCAACAAAAGGTACTGTGAATCAGCTGTCATTTCATATTCTTTCTAATGCTGCTTTCAGCTTTTTCAATGTAGTATGGGAAAAGTGGTGAGGGTCATATTGTGAAGATAAATACTTGCTGAGGGGGACAATGGAATTACTAACTCTGAGCTATATGTTCTATAAAACAGAAGGCTTCACTTCTTCTCCCCACCTGTAGTTTCTTTTATTAGTATATTACAGTAGTGCTCAAAGTCCCCAATTTGCCAAATGTCGTGCAAACACGCATGAAGACCTTGTCCCTACCCCAAAAAGTTTACAGTCCAAGTTCTCAATCCTCCAGCTCATTCTGTGTTGGTGAAACTCTGTACCCATATGAAACCAGTTGCAGGATTTGGGTCTAAAAATGTTTTCGTATAAGTAGTAATAGTTAATATTTTGCCACTATACATGGACATTCACCTGAGGTACTAAAATCTTAGAAACTGGTTTTCTCATTTTACAAAAGGGGACGCTAATCCACAGTTGTTTTCAAGTGGCTTGCCAAGATCCTCACTCAGAACCTTCCCACATTTCACTAGATTCCCCCAAACTGAGGCTTGTGGTGTAATATGGGAAAATGGAAAGGATTTCTAAAGGTATAATAGGTCATCATTGCTTACTATTACTAAGACTGCATACAGTCAACCGAGTAACTTTATAGTGGGTTATTTGATCACAAGGCATGACTTCTCATTCATTGTTATATAATTGCAATGCAATCTTAACCGTACAGGCACTAGGCTTCTGGGAACTGTGCAAGTAACTGAATCTATGTTTTCATTGCTGAAGTTAAAAAGTTGGCTTTCTTTGCAATGATTAAACAGCAACTCTCTATAAACTCTGAATAGCATTCTGCATCAGTATTTCAAGTAAAAAATATTCAGACTGTGTCCTGATCAGAGTTCTCGAAGTGAATTTGTTCATCATAATAGGTATGTAAATATCTAGTAAGCTCAGATTTTAAACTTATTTTGAAATAATGAGGCCCAGACCAAACTTGTGGGGATAACATGAACATTTTTTTAAAAGTACAATGAGAATGATGAAACTCTTTTTATTTTATTATGTTTTTGACTTCCGATTTATCATGAACTTTCTAACAAATTGCCTTATGTTTTCAAAATGAGTGACTTTATTTTTTAAATTGGCAGACTCTTGAAGCAGTTATTTAATGGCATACTTGAAGCATGTTAATTGTCACATCACAGATTCTGGACCAAATATTAGCCATTAAAAGTAGTTTTATGAAGGAACAGCCACCAAGACATTTTTATGTTTAAGAATGTTGGTGTGTGTGTGTGTACATTCATTCTCGCAATCAGATGGTTTACATGATGTGTTTCTCAAGATACACTGTAAGTACACTTATTATTCACTGCTGGGGATCACTTCAAAAAATCAATTCTGACCGAGCTGGTGATGACATTGCAAAGGTTGGCACTCTCTCTCACACTCACAGGCACTCTTTCTTTGATCTTTAGAGCAACACAAATCTGTTACTGCTTTGAGCTGTCCTACCTCTATACCCTCCCCCCCCATCATACCATCTCTTTTCTGCTTTGGAGCACTATGCAAGATATTGGTGCTTGTAATGTTAAATTAATTTTGTATATGTGCTTTAAGATCCACTCATGTCTTTTGTTTCAAATTGCTTTTGCTTTCTTTTAAAGATAACTAATTCTATCTTGCACGCTTTTTGGATTTAAAAACTGTTGTGCCATTCTTCATGAAGTACGTGCTTGTTAGAAATTTTGACTTTCTTAAAGAATGTTACTCCTAGGAGTGAAATTCATTAATCAAATGATTTAGTATAATAATTTTATAGTTTATATTAAAATACTCGAAAGACATTCATTCAGTTGATCTTACTCTAAAACCATAAAGTTATTACACCAATTACTTGATTTTGCTTGGGGTGAAAAGATCTAAGCTCCTGATGTATTTGTTCAAAGATTTGTAAGAAGTGTGAATATTATTAAAACATTGAAATGTTTTTATGTACAAAGGCTGTAGTTGAAATAGCTTCAAGGGGTATAACATTTATAAATGCAGATTAAATAAAAAAGTAGCAGCACAGAAGGATTGTTGAACAAGCAATACTGTTTGTACAGTGAGGAGTAGAATACCAATAGGAATTTGAAAACAAATTACATGCAACTCTATTCCAGACAGTCAGTGGAATTGTGAAATAGTTTGCCATTCTCTTTTAATTTCTTTCAGAGTGAATGCATTTCACCCTTTCAGAAAGTACAGCTTGTTCATGCCACTGTTTATCACAACAGAAACTATTCGGGAAGTTCCTATTCTCTCTTGGCTGTATTTGCTTCTGTTTAACTTCTGTTTTATTTCCTGTCCTATAACATCAGCAACTTTACTGTTCTAGAAATGGAAACATTATAGTTTCTCACAGTTCATGGATTTAGAACCCGTGACAGTCAGTTGCTTTGACATGGTGGTGGCTTGTTCATAAGAAATGTCTGTTAATTATCAAACAAATTGTTTCTGATTTATATATAATTGCTGTAATTCTACTAGAAGACATGCTAACTGTGGAATGATAAATGGCAAAATTCCTAAGCTGTAACTAACTAAAATTATGTTTTAAAGTTAATTTTCTTAGAATAAGAAAAGGGCTATTTCACAGGTGAAATGATCTCAAGTTAATTTTGTAGAGAGTTTAGTTCAAAATATATCAAAACAAGGGTACGGGACCCAGTAAGGGTCCCCCACCTTTACAAGTGTTTGCTCTGATCTTCATAGACGCCAGTTTACTGAATCAAAAATGTATTGCTTAATTTATGTTCAAATTTCTAAATCTATTTCTTGCTGGTCTATAGTAGAACTTCTTGTGTTTGTGCTTTGAATTTATAAAACTAAAGCAAAATTTGTGGCTGTTGACTGCGCCCTACATGTGCAATGTGTAGTCACCCTTATGTCTAACAAATCTAAATCTATATTATCATGGCAGTGTGTGTTTTCCTGATGCTCAGCAATCCCTCTCCTTAAAATTATAGGACATTCTTGAGAAAATAAAATCATATTTCTTCTTTGAGTAGTACTTTAATTAGAATAGTAACAATATACATACACATTTATCGGGTCTAAGTGCCTATGGATGCATAATGAATTAAAACTAATACCATAACTTATTTTAAAAACACATTATTATTAAGCAGCAGTAGAGTGCTCAGCAATATACATGATCCAGCAAGTCACAGTCCTTCAGAAGCTCAATCTTCAATAGCCTGATTCTACAAAGTGTCTATTAGCTCTTGCAAGAACTTCCATTGGAGTTTAGCGAATTCACTCTCCTTGCATGGGATCAAAAAGAGTCAACAGGCCAGGACACAGGAGCAAAATGCATTGAGTCTTTTAAAGGAAGTTTCTCTCTTAGAACACTTATGAGGTAGGTGACAGCATTTTTACTGAGTTTGGCAGGGGTGGGTTTTGTGGAGGAAGTAAGACTTAAACATTGGATGAGATTCTGGAATCCCAGAAGTTGCTGCTCTTTTACCCATTGAAATAAAAAGGCAACCATCCAAAATCCACATACCTAAGAAAATTATAATGTCTTCACTTTCAGTCTCAAGTAAGGCTGTCCAGAAAACAATTCCATTTCACACACACTTTTGAGGTTTCTAAATTTGTTTTCATTCCAACATGGAGCAAAACCAAGACCTTTAAAAAAAATTGCAAAATATTCCCGTAAGACATTGATACCCTAGAATAGCACAATTCAATCCCTGCTCCAAATTAGACAGAGCAGGGACTAGAATGTGGGTTTCCCACATTTGCTGTGGGTGCCCTGACTGTTGGGCCATTGGCTATTCTGATCTCTCTCAATCAGACCTGGAATTCCATCCTGGACCTGAGAAACATTTTAATCAAAACAGGTATGTTTTCCCATGAAACGTTAAGGTTTTGGTGAAATGACCTTTTTTGAGAGAGAGATTTGTGAACATTTTTTTTTTTATTTTTTAACCAGCTCTAGTCACAAGGAAGCTACTGACAAATTATGTCACATTAATGGAGAGGTATTACTAAAAAATAAACATTGAACAACTGAGCTCTTAACATTTAGGTTGTTTTCACAGACAGCAAAAAATTATTGAGTGAGTTATTTAAGACTAGATCATAACATATGAAATTTAAACATTTGCAGACTTAAAATCACACACAATCAATCTGGAATGTTATGAAGCTTAAGTGTGAAATTTCAACCCTCCTGAAGTTAGAGAGTTTTGCCATTGACTTCAATGGGGCCAGGATTTCATCCTAAATTTTAAGCACCCCAAAATAACAACCAAGTTCTAACGTTGCTTAGACGCTGCAGATCACATCTGAGCCAATGTATAATGTCTTTGAAGTTTGGCTTATCTAAGAATGGGAATATAATTGTTGTCTTTGGTGGTACAATATTCTCTACACTGCTCTAGTTCCTTAGGTCTTGATGATGTGATTTAGTTCAGAATGTCAAGAAAAGGCTACAACTTTATTGAAATGAAAAATGGAGGAAGTATATTTTCCCACTCTAAACTAGTTCGGTGTTGAGACACCACCTTAAATGATCCAGCCAGAGAAGCTATTCAGGCTCCTGCTGCCAGAACCATATGCCACAAATGCTGCTAAACCTAGGTTTAGCTGGCTTCCCCCTGTTTTAGGTTCCAACCAGCCCTACAGACAGATCCAAAGATGATTAGACCTCAGAACTAGTAATGGGTTCAGGAGGTGTCATTCAACTCTGGATTGCCCTTAAACTAGAGTTTGAGTATGAGACTGAATCAGGGCTTGCACTATAGTTTCATTACCTTGAATGATGGAAATATCACTAGATTGGATATTGTGAGTTGTCCGCCCTCTTGCATTGAAATCTTACAAGCACAACTATTTCCTGATACATTAGTCAAACCCAAACTGGAACAAGAAAATAGGCTTATTTGTAAAGTCAAACCCAGAACCAAAACCATATAGGGAGTTTTGCACCCAAGAC